ACAGCTGTTTTCTGGTTGTTCGAAAGATCACTGTGTCAACAAAACCCCTGGGGGCCAACTCCCATAAGTCACAGCAGACATGCCAGGTCTGCGCAGAGGTGCACTGCTCAGCTTGTTCTTCAGGAGAACTTGCTGTGAGAAGTGCAGCTGGCTGAGAGCCTCCGGCTGCCACACCTTTCTGTCTGGCTCAATATTCAGTTTTCCCCTGGCTGCTTCTACCCAATGCCTGAACATGCCTGGGGTGCTAACGCTGCACCATTTGTGCCCACAGAGAACCCCTCTAATAGGCAATGTTTGCCTGTGATTCTCCACTGGCCTTACAGAGACTTTCTCAAGATGCACTGTAATCTGAGACTCTTCCTACCCAATGCTTCCTTCCTTCTCTCCTTTCACAAATGTAGGCTCTTTCTGCCTCCTGCTCCTCCCTTCTCCTTTATCCTTCACAGGTGTTTTCTCCAATAAACCTCTTGCACATCTAATTCTGTCTTTGTATCTGCTTCTCAGAGGATCTGAACTAATAGTCTAGTACATTCATGGTCTGGGTGCAACAGTACTGGAAAGCTGATCTTCAGGTAGGCAAACGTAGGGGATTTTATAATAGTCAGAGAGACTTGTGAACAGAATCATTTGAGCAGTGTTGAGAAGGAGGGCTGGAGAAGGGTACACGAATCAGAGAGAAGGAACATGAGGCACATCAGCAAATCCAATAAGCTGGGTAGTTTATAATGCATATTCATTTTGAAGGGAACAAACCTTAAATGGACAGCAGTGGATTGGTTAAAGAAAATGTGGTACATACACACCATAGAATACTACACAGCCATAAAAAAGAGCAAAATCATGTCCTTTGTAGCAACATGGATGGAGCTAGAGGCTATTATCCTAAGCAAATTAACACCAGCAACAGAAAACCAAATACTTCACAGTCTTACCTATAAGTGGGAGCTAAACATTGAGTAAGCATGTCCGCAAAGAAGAAAACAATGGACACTGGGACCACTTGAGGGTGAAAGCTGGGAGGAGAGTGAGGATCCCAAAAGTGCCCAGTGAGTACTATGCTCATTACCTGGGCAAGGAAATCATTTGTATGCCAAACCCCTGCAATACACAGTTGACCCATGGAATAAACCTGCACATGTATCCCCTGAACCCAAAAGTTAGAAACAAAAATAGAAAAAGAAAAACCTTAACTGGAGCTGAGTTTTAATCCCAACCCCGCCATCAATTTTGGGCAAGTCGCAAGTCACTTTGGCTCAATTTCCTCATCTAGAAAATGGAAATAATTTTACTTACCTTGCTGGGTTGTAAGAATGGAGAGGATGACGCTTGTAAAGCACCGGCATGGGTACTCTCAGTTCACAGTAGCTACTGTTCATTATTAGTCTTTCTCTTTAGGAAGAGAAAGAATGTCTTCCTCTTATTTAGAGCCAGGCAGGCACTCGTTCAAAAACAAAGATCCTTGCAGCCTGGGCAACACCAAGTCTCTACAAAAAATAGAAAAAATTAGCCGGGCATAGTGGTGTACACCTGGAGTTCAGCCACTCAGGAGGCTGAGGTGGGAGGATTCCTTGAGCCTGGGAAGTTGAGGCTGCAGTGAGTCATAATTGCACCACTGCACTTTAGCCTGGGCAACAGGGCAAGACCCTGTTTCAAAAATAAGAAAAGAAAAGAAAAGAAAGATCCATCCTGAGCGGGGGTCTTGGGAGCTTGGCCCTGTGGTGATAGGCCCATGGAAAGATGAGGGTTCAGTGTTCACCCAGGGGGGTGGGTCAGCTGCCCGCGTCTGCCTTATCGTGTCCTGAAGGGGCCCTGTGTGGTGTGATGCTCCTGGGGTGTGGGGGCAGAGGCGAGAGTGGGAAAAGGAGCGGGAAGAGCCTCCAAATTTAAGGTGGTTTCTGGGCAGTACCTTCAGATGAGATGAGAAATGGACAAGAAGTGGAGCCTGGAAGTAGAATCACGGTGGAGACAGGAAGGCCCGCCTGCTTTGGGCTCCTCCCCTTCCCTTTGTCCATAGGCCTCAGCCGTGAGAGAATTTAACTGCCCCTGTGCCTTAGGAGACCTGGGTTGGGTTGTCTGGGGAGTAAGTTCTAAAGGGGCCCCTTGTCTTTTGAGGGGACAGGCGGTAGGGTAGGGCATGGCTCCAGAGGGTCGCAATGAAGAGGATGAATCCGCCAGGTGCGGTGGCTCACGCCTGTAATCCCAGCACTTTGGGAGGCTGAGGAGGGCAGATCACAAGGTCAGGAGTTCGAGACCAGCCTGGACAATACGGTAAAACCCCATCTCTACTAAAAATACAAAAATTAGCTGGGCATGGTGGCAGGCGCCTGTAGTCCCAGCTACTTGGGAGGCTGAGGCAGAAGAATTGCTTGAACCCGGGAAGCGGAGGTTGCAGTGAGCTGAGATTACGCCACTGCACTCCAGCCTGGGTGACAGAGCAAGACTCTGTCTCGAAAAGAAAAGAAAAAAAAGGAAAAGGAGGAATCCCCAGAAGACACAGTCCAGGCGTCCAGTCCTGAGAATGCCCCCACCCCCGCCCTGGTGACCCACAGCCGGTAGTGCCTCCAGCTCTGGCCTGGGTACCCAGCATAAAGCAGGTCCCACCAGGGCCCGCTGGACACCACATTTCTATGCCACCTCCTTGGCAGCTTCTTTTAAGAAGTCTGTTTTCCTGAAAGGAAGCTAGATGACAAATTATTTTCCTCAGGTGCTGACTAGAGGAAAAATAATGACCCAGAAGGTGGCATTTGTCTCCCTTGTCCCTCTCTCTCCTCTTCCCCACACCCTCCTCCCCACACCACAGGTGTCCAGTTGTGGCTGTCAGGATGCTCTATGGCCCAGCACCCCTTTTCTGCCTGGGAGGAGAGTAGCCAATAAATTAACCACATCAAGAGCACGATCTGTCTCCCACTCCTCCAGGGCAGGAACTGGTAAAAGTCAGCTGGGCTCAATTGGGTTCTTTGCAAATGAGGGAATGAAAAAACTGAGGAAGGAGAGTGTTTGCAAATACCCCTGACTACAACCCCACCTACCCTTCCTCTAACTTCGCTTTCCTATTCCTTCTTCTCTCTACCCACACCTTCCATAAGCCTTCTTCCTTTCCTCCCTCCCTCCTATTTGGGAGGCAGACAGACCTGGGTTGGACACTTTCGGCAGGTTATTTGTCCTCTCTGTGCCAGTTTCCATGTCTGTAAAACAGGATGACCCCACCGGCACGTGACTGTTGTGAGGATTAAATGGAGTGAGTACAGCAGCTGGCCCCAGTGTTTGTTCTCCAGGTTCTCTGTTTGTGCTGCAGGCCCCAGTTAGGGGGGACTGATTAGCTGCTGTATGTCTGGAGCCGCTAAAGGTCCCAGGCAAGGAGGAAAAAGAGGGTGCAGTACGGGGGTCCTGAGGGGTCGGAAACTCAGAGAAGGTCTGACTCATTGGTAGAGGAAGTAAACCCAGAGGTCAAAGGGGCCCTGCCTAGAGGTAGTAGTGATCTCCAGTGCTGGGCCGGACACAGTGTCCTGGCTTCTCCCTCATCCCCACAGGCCTCTGAGGGGTCAGGTGTTCAACCAGCATCCAAAAGAACATCCACTGAGCCAGGTGCCGGGATGGGCCCTTTTATTCATTTTGTTTTCATTAACTCCCTCCTACCCCAGCAACCTGCATGAGATCAGTGTTTTCATTCCCACGACACACTGGAGAAAACAGAGGCTCTGAGAGATAGGTAGGCAGCTGGTGAGGAATAGGGCTGGGACTTGATCGGTCTAGGTAAAGTCCCCAGAGCCAAGGGGACTCTGAAGAAGGACATCTGAACCAGACAGGGGGTCAGGTAAGGACTCCTGGAAGCAACATGGCCTGATGAGTCATGGTGGAGAGCCATAAGTGCCCATAGAAGCCCCCTACCCCAAATTTGGGAAATAGTGTTAGTTTTCCTCTCCAAAGTCCAACCAATAGCAAAGCTAGGGACAGGCAGCACCTGCAAGGGGGCCCCCCCGCCTCCCTTCCTTGGACCCCACCTCTTACCATAGCCTCAGGTCCCTAAAGTACAGCAGTTCCCACTGGGGGTATGTGAAATAGGGCTAACAGAGAATGGCCAGGTCTGCCCTTGCATCTCTCCCATGGGCCCAGCAACTCCTGGTGGGCCTGGGATCTCTGGAGAGCAATGGGGCAATGGGCCATACTGAAGCCTGTCCTCTGCTGCTCCAACTGTGTTCCTTCCACAGCTTTCTCTGGACCTAAGACAACAAGAGCCTGACCCTCACTCAACCTCCTTGCCTGCCTTCCTTGTAATGCCAGAAAAAATCTCCTTGCTCACACAATTTTTTCATTTGAAAATGGTCTGGGGCCAGGTGCAGTGGTTCACACCTGTAATCCTAGCACTTTGCAGGGGCCGAGGTGGGCAGATCACCTGAGGTCAGGAGTTTGAGACCAGCCTGGCCAACATGGCAAAACCCTATCTCTACTAAAAATACAAAAATTAGCCAGGTGTGGTGGCATGTGCCTGTTGTCATCCCTGCTACTTGGGAGGCTGAGGCATGAGAATCACTTGAACCCGGGAGGTGGAAGTTGCAGTGAGCCGAGATGGTGCTACTGCACTCCAGCTTGGGCAACAGATTGAGACTCCAACTCAAAACAAAAAAAGAAAAGAAAGAAAGAAAATGCTCTGGGGGACCTTCTCGTTCAACTCTTATTGAATAAGAGGAGAAGGATCCTGTATCTCCTACCCACCTACTTTTTTAGGGAATAATCCAAGTAGGTATGCTCTGGACCTGAGGCCATTCCTAACAGGGCTTGCCCTTTGGTGACATCCCAGAATCTGAGTCTGTGATCTGGGATAACCTATTAGAAAGCCCCCAAAGTCTCCATGGAATGGCAATGGCCCACTGGACCAACCCAACCAAGTTATACCTTACTTTCTCTACCTACAGGCTGCCTCCCCTGACATGGGGAGACAGACATCGAGGAGATCTGCTGGGCCCACAGGAGCTCCAAGGGAAATCACAGAAATGCTCACCTTATATATAAAACTGCTTTATTAAAAAGTCAGCTATTAGGAAAACAAAGCCCTTACAAGGGTTCTATCAAAAAGTACAAATTTTAAATAAATGCATCAGAAAAATGGCAGCCAGATATACCAGCCACAGTCACAACCTCAAAGGCCTTGTAGGGAAGGAAGGGAGAATTAGGGAGGAGGTTCCTAGAACTCAAGGAAGAGGCTGGGCACAGGGGGTCTTTGGGTGCCTGCAGAGCTGGGTCCTGGAGCTACCAGGCAAGGACCCTGCTTCCGTTTTCCTTTCCTTGGAAAAATGGAAAGAACTGGCAGGTGCAGGAAATGTTGAGTCTGGAGCAGAAAGGCACAAAAGTCATTTATAAGGTATGATTACTCACTCCAGTCCTGAGGCACATGGGTTGAATAAAATGGGGGATCAGAGCCACAGGGTCCCCTGGCTCTGGTCATGCTTGCCCCTGGCTGGTACCATCTCTGAGTTTGGCCACAGGTTAAATTAAGGTAGACCAAGTGGACTGCGTAATCCCGGCAGCCTGGGATCTGGAGCCAGTCTTTAGATCAGGTATGTTGCTTCACTGGCAAACTGGTGTCTGTCCCCCAAGAGACCCCCCCAATGAGAAGCAGCAAGTCTCCTGCCTAGCCCTGTCCTCTGAGTCACTGTGGGCACCCACCCTGGACAAGGAACATCTGAGGGCAGTCTCTGCCATTCAGGCATCCTGAGAAGCCCCAAGCCCCAGAGCCAGGGTTTCTCCGAATGACAGGCAGACGCACAGGAAGCTGGCGTTGAAACCAGTCCCCACCAGCTGCTGGCCCCACACCCTATGGTCACTGCTGACACGCCTCCTTGGTGACATTAGGCAGTGGGTAGGCAAAGAGGGAGAAGTCCAGGATATACTTAGGCAGCACATCCTGCAGCAGGGCCCGGGGGGCACTGCACAAGTGGTAATGCAGGCTTTCGGGGCTGGCTGGCCGGTACCAGGCCTGGCGAGCTGGAAATTGGACGTGGGGTGGTGCCCGTACCCACTCCAGCACCTGATTGGCATCAGCCTCCAACCTCTCATAGGAGCCCACAAAGTCATAGTGCACGGCACAAGGCTGGCACAGGTGGTACACGGGCATCCAATGCTCATTCATGCGTTCAGGGTCTTCGTCCACCAGGTATCTCAGGAACTCAGGGAATGTGACATCGTCGCCTGCGGGGCTGGGCCCCGCCCCAGCCCTGTACCGCCTCACTATCTCAGCCCCGTAGCGTTGCTGGTACTCTCGGATCTCGCCAAATTTGTTGCGGTAGGCAGAGAGGAGGCGTTCCAAGGGGTCCCGCACAAACAGGAACTTAAAGTAGTGCTGCAGGCGGTAGCGAATCTCCTCAGGCCGCAGGTCTGCCAGGAACACCAGGTCACTGCGGTGGTCCATCTTGAGGCGGACGTCCACGCTGTCCAGGACACCCGCCAGCACCTTTAGCACCCGCTTCCAGTTAGAGCAGGCCACCTTGGGGACGTAGCAGTAGAGGAAGCGGTAACGGTCACTTACGAGGATGTGGCGCAGCAGGGTGCGCCGCTGCCCCACCGGCAAGTCCCAGGGGTCCTGGGGCATGCCCGGCTGTCCGCACACCGCCCGCAGGGTCCTGTTCCGGACGTCCTGCCGCACTTGCAAGTCCGCGTCCCCAGCACTCAGGGACAGGCCCCCAG